TGATTCAACAACTGGAGAACACCAGGACACAAAGGGGTGGTTTTGAGTCACTAGGTGAGTGGATCATGGGTACCCCTATCCTCCAAGTTCGGCACCCCTTTGAGGCTCCTGGCATACATGACCTGTTTTTCTTTTGGCCACATTTCTCATCTCCGATGTTTCATGAATCCTTGAGACCCCCGAGGAAACCAGCAAGCAGGCGCTCGCTGGCGCTCGCTCCGCCCGGGAAAAGCTGAAGTCAGCTGGACCAAAAGGTCTGCAAAAAGCCACTTGCTGGTTGGTGTTTTCAACCCGCTTGAAACATATTAGTCAGAGGGTCCAATCATCCCCAAGTAAGGGGTTGAAAATAAACATATCCGAAACCATCACCTAGCTTGGTGTGTGCAGTTGAATAGGGAGACACCCTCGCCCTGGCCTGGTTTGGCTGGTTGCCTCCGAGAGGTTCCTTCAACATGCGTCATACATCCATGAGATGCTGTATTCTGGGTGCGAGCCGGGAACAGAAGAGCTTCCTTCACCCGAGCTGTGTGACTTTCCCAAAGCAGATCCCCCCAAATGGGCTCTTAATGTATCTTAGATCTTCTGGGGGATGGAAGATTCATTTCATCTAATCAGATCTAATCATCATAGGAGTCTGCCACCTACTCCAATACAGCTGTGTCTCCCGCTTGGGGCCATATTGGCTTGGGAAATTACACATAAAAAACAACGCATGGGCCACCCTGAGCAGCTCGTTTCGGCCGCGTGCACACCCCGCGCCTTGCTTCAGCCGCGTGTTCCGCGGCCGCGCCGAGTCCAGCGGCGCTCCGAGTCCAGCGGCCTCGACTCCTGCGACGAGGCAGAACTGGTAAGGCTTCAATGGAACTGCCAACGGGCCTAGCAGTTCACAGGCAAGCCTGCAGTTATAATACCTACATTAAAAAAAATATACATGTATATATACACATAATACAATGCATGACAAACACGGTAAACATGTTAACCCTGGTTAAATCACAAGATTGTATAAGCCCCAGAGGCCAAAGGAAGACGGTCAATATATATGTTTGGGGTGTCAAGGTCTCACAAAAACCACCTCTGAAGATAGACGCTTGGACGACTACTTCACTGATCCGGAGCCCCTTCAAGACAGTTGATGTTTGTCGCCTTCCTGAGCTGATACTAAACTACAAACATGGGTATAGGTTTGGGGTGGTGTTTCTTTTGTTAGGTACCCATCCACTAGAATCACCACCAATCATGCCCCTCACTAGCACCAAGCTGCATTTACACACGCATGTGCGCCCTCCCCCAATGGCACAAAGCCATGCAAAAGGCCCCACAAAGGTGTCAGGGATTCGTTGGGGACGTGCGAGGCCTGCTTGAGGACCCAATCTCGCCCTCAGTCGCAGGCTGACCAGCAGGGACCTGCAGGCAGGGGCAGTGCGGGACTCTTTGGTGGAACTTCCAAAAGGCACTGGGTGATGGCACCAAACCCAATGTCTGTCGCGTTCACCGAGTCGACATGAACCCCCGCAACATGATGGCTGATGAAAACCATGTCAATGTCTCTTGGATTTGCTGTCCAGTGCGGGAAAAAGTAAAACATACACAATCTGATTCACCCATACAAGAAATAGACTATATATAGGATCTTTATAAGCAATTCCTATAGGATCCTATACTATAGGTTGGGTCTACCCCTTTACCAAGGCCCTAGATTAGCAGGTTCTGAAAAAAATATGAAAACATAGTGATGTTCTTGTTTCATGGTAGGTACTGGTAATAGGACAAACCCACCTACCTAAGTCCTAAGTGTTCATTGAAACCAGCGGTCACCCACATCGGCCCAACCGGCCCACCATTGGCTCGTCAGCAACGGACCAAACAGACCAGACGGAAAACCCGGCGAATGAGCACCCAACCGAAGGACTGTCCTTTCTGTTGCACTCCATGTCATTATCAATGCCCATTGCTATGCCCATTCTAACTGAAAGTTTCATCTACACATTCTATAACTACCACCATCAAGAAGAAGTGCGCAGTTAAAGTTAGTGCCTGGCGCCTGGAGAACACTCGTCTTTGTAAGAGTCTCTTTGCAGCTCATTGCAGCTCCCTCTCTCCAATCTACCCTGTGAGGCCTCGGGCGTGCGCCAAGCCGCAGTCGCCGGGGCCGCAGCTGGACCTGCGGAGCGCGATCAGCAGGTCCATGGAGAAGTAAGTCACGGTGGACAAACGCTGCAGGTTCCCTGGGCTGTTAGGCAAGAATCATAGAACACGCTTTAGGCTCATGGGGTCACTTGGATATGTTCGGGTCACCTGCTTTGCACTGGGTCATCTACTTTCTTCACTGCTGCTTGGCACTCTTGGAATTCAGCCCGAGGGGCCTCACGAGGCCCAAACAGTGCCACGTAAATCCACGCACGGGACCCCGATGTCGGCTGAACAATGGTATGCTGGTGGCGCTGGTGGTTCATCTACTGTAGACTCCTGTTCAGGGAACGGTCTCCCAAACATATTTTCACCAACATACAAGGCGATTGATGAGCCCACGACCTTTCCATCGACTATCCACTCAAAAACAACAAAACGTTTTCTGCTCAGCGATCAACCCGCAGGAGGCCCCTGGCCCTGGGACGCACCCGCCTGTGGGCGCGACGTGGTCGGCTGCGCTGGGCAGTCCGGCAGCCTGGCAGGTCTCCTGACGTGGTCGGCGGGTGCACACCGGACGCCTCTGTTTCGTTCCAGAGACCCAATCTAACAAGAAAACCTTGGAAGTCGTGGCCCACCATTGTTTTAATAGCCGGGTCATCCTGAACAACCATTGTTTTACTAAAGGTTTTACACTACAAAACCAGATCAACCATTTAAAAAATGGTCTTTGACTTCCAGGGAAATATAATCAAACTTTCAACAGAATCCAAACGTTGATCCCTTTTGAACCACCTTTAAGGTAGGAAACTATGCCAGTTTCAAATGAATGTTTGGGTCAGGAGACTGCTATGGACTGCTCCTTGCTGCTTACCCTCTCGCAGGTTCTCTTCCTCTCTGGCAGGTGGTGCATTTCTGCGTTGCCAGCACAATTCAACATACTAAGGGACATGTTCACATTGACATCGGCGGGAATGTGCTTCAGGCTTTAGGTTAGAGAGAGCAACACAGCAGATCCAATCTGTAGTACTGCCTACATGAAGTTGCCAAGCTCCCGAAGTCACGCATTCGGACAACACGCCTCATTTCAAAGGGTCACTGCCATATGTTGTTCATAGGGTATCGCTTCACTGAAAGTGGTCTAACATGAGAACCAGCAAGAACCATATCATAAACCTCCAAGTGGGATTCTAAGATCATTGGTGCCTTTTTGCGCTTTTTGTTCTGCTTCCGGACTGGTACCGTGGCGCGCCGAAGCGGAACCGCATGCTTCCGCTGTGAGACACGAAGCGAGAAGCGCCCAAGTGGGCGACCTCCACGCGCTACGCGCCACGCGTTTTTCGCGCAGAATGAAGATCCAAAGAAAACAACGACTGACAGGACCGGACTTAACAAGTCACCCCCTAGGGCTCCAAGTACCTCCTCAGAAGGTGTTTGGACCCTCCAAACCCACCCCAAACACCTTCTCAGAAGGTACTTGGAGCCCTAGGGACCAATAATGAGACCTTATCTAGTCTCGAAGGCGACCCATCCGTGAACAAACAATGAACAAATACGATCAAAAACGTACTTCCCCTCATGGAGGCCTTGCCGGGAAATTTCTCGCTATATGCATTTTTAAGTGCACTATGCAAATGATCATATATACTTACATAGTATACTTTGCACCAAAAAACATTAGAACTGAACAGAGGGAAATAAACATCGCAAGCGGACAGCTGTTCACCTAACAACGAACCAAACGCGATCATTGTTGCCGCCCTCAAGGTTTGCTGGGGTCGACTTTTGACGTTGCGAGTGTAGTCGGGCAATCCATCGGTGTCCTCTTTCTTGGTTGCAAAGTCCCCCCTTGGACTAGACTCAATGGGGGGCAGCACAGAATGGAGCAACAACTTCACAGGAAACCCGTGTCTCTATTTATAACCATCCTGGGAGCAAACAGAACATTATGACCCAAGCAAACAACATGACCATAGCGATTCTTACGATACAGTGACTAAGTCATCTGTTTCAACTTGGAAATTCACGTCTGAAGCTGGGAGGTCACCAAGACTAGCTAGCAATTTCCACCATGTTCCATCTACTTCCTCTACTCATGTCCAAATCCAGCTGCCTTTGGCATACCGGAGAAACATTCAACACGACATGCCGAGGCATTGTGCAGCTACTCAGCCACACCCCGGCCATGTACGGTGTTTTCAAAGGGTCTTGGCTTGGAATGGCAGCCGTGACACCCGAACAGGTTCCGTGACACCCGAAAAGGTTCTTGACTGATCCTATCTTCACATGTTGCTTTTGCGTGGGGGGTTCCCCAGTTCCCTCGAAGTTCGGTTGGGGGCCAGTGATCCACAGACTTCCATGGTAGGATAACCATGGGCTCCTACTGTAGCCGCAGCCTTAGTTGGTGCTTGGACGCACCAGCATGCATTAGCTACTGATGGTGCTACTGGGTAGATCCCGAAATCGGGCAGGGAGCGTCTCCTGATCGGCTCCAGCCCCAAACACATGTCCTTTCGAGAAGCCAGCAACCCAAAAGCTGATCACAAAGAACTCGCCCCTAAACTGCCATCAGCCTCTCCATGTCACCCTTGAAATAGCCCTAAAGCCGTTAGCCATATTTTTTGTCTGCTTCTTCTTAAATCTATTTGGGTTCACTTGCCACCACTCAACATGACTGTTTATTGGAGGGTGATGAACCTGTTGGGAAGCTGATTTCTTCAGAACTCTTTCCTGATGCCTCCACTCTAAAGTTTTGATTAGCATCAAATTATTTCAACGTTGGGAGACTCGTTGAACTCTTGCCCTCTTGGAATTAACCCAAACCATGGCCCTTGCCCGAGCTTTGTGCAGGCATTCCTCATTCTCTTACTTTATGGCATTGGCCGACATCTCAGCTCAGCCGACATACATCCAGTGTTCGTGGCTTCAGTACACACTGCTGTAGCGTTGTTGAAGCACACCTTACAACGCACCGCGCAAAAAACGTGCTTGTAGAAGCGCCGAAGAAAAAGACTGCTTGAGTAGAATGAAGCGGATGCATGTGAGAAACATCAGAAAACATCAGAACACATGTTATTCAGATATGAATTGAGTTTTCGTTCAGCTGGATGTAGGCCTTGTTTGGGGGACAAGCACCTGGTTATTTGATGTTATTTTGACATTGGCCTCGCTCATAGCACGCGACATCACGCAACCAGCTTGGTACCCGTTACCCATGCAGCTTTCAAACATCCCACCAAAGCAACACAAGCAAAAGCCATAAACCCCAGCAGCGCCCACCCCCCAAGTTCATCTCTTGAGACTGCTGAGGGAAAGATATGTATATTTATATTAATCCTTCAAACCATGTTCAATTGGCCCCACCAAAACCAATCATGATTTTCCTGGCTCTCCTTGAATTGTCCTGCGTTTTCCTGTTTCCCAAAAAAGAGCCTCACCGCTTGAGCGTTCACCTGTACTGTACTTGTGGAACACATCGCGGCGGCGAAACCGTTCCACCAGCGCGTCTTGGTTTGTCACCTCTGGCTGTCTTCACCTGTTCGTCCCAGTTTCCAACAGTGTGCGATCAGTCAACGGCTGCAGGTCAGCTTCTTCCTTCCACGGAAGCCGAACAGGGAGCGGGGGATGTGCAGTTTCAGAGGTTCCGATGGCACAAACCTCAAGATGTCTTTCAAATGGGGCCTCCTATAAACCACCTTTAGGTAAAATTGTGCCATCTACTCTCAATCCACAATAGACTTCCTCTCGACCGCGACACGCGCCGCGCTTCCAAGCGGTCGAGATGTTTTCTCTCTCTCTCTCTCTCTGTCTCTGTTGCATACCGAAGCACGTATTGGTCCCACCTGAGTGGCAACAGAGTTGAGAAGGCGGTGCCGGCGATTTCACCGCGCATCGATGGGACATCCCAGGCACCGTTACCACATGGCACCGTTACACTCAACACAGGATGGACCGCCAAATGCACCCGAACATGCTAACGAAGCACCCGATGCTTGTCTGCAACAAGTTATTTCATATCCAGCACCTTCCTACAGGTGGTTTCTGGACACCTCTTAACCACTAAGAGGCGATGTATAGACACCTCTTGGAAGGTCCTGGAGTATTGAATTATAGAACATACGTTTTTTTGGATTGTAAAGCCTCCAGCCTTGGGACCATTTATATAAACAATGGTTCACCTGGTTTTGTAGTGCAACATCCTGCGTAAAACAATGGCGGTTCGGGATTCAGCTTCTTAAATCAATGGAACCTATATAATCTATATAGGGTTTGGACACTGCCAAACCTGACACCAAACAGAAACCCAAGGAACAAACAGAACCGGTCTCGCCGGTTTTTGAACCCTGGAGCTCAGGATGGCTCAGGGACCTCTTCCAAAATCATCTCACCACATGCACCCGCTAAAATGCGCAATGAACCGGTTGGCCCCGGTGGCCTTCCCCGCCGTACTTGGACGCCCTGACCGGCAGGAGCCCTGGGGTTCCCTGACTTGGAGGCAAAACCCGCGAAGGACGAACAGCTCTGCGGGCAGTCCGAACTGGCCCCCTTCTGCCTGGCCGGCGACCAACTGTTCGGTGGGTTGAAGCACCCGAGTTCGACGCCCTCCCAGGCCAGGGTGCAAGAAGAAGCAGAGGCGTTTACCCTGCTTGGGGTCCTCTTAGAGTATGCCCCAGGTAGCTTCTGGGTCCTGACCTGGTCACTGAACCTCTGTTGCTATGAGTCATGGCAGCCAGGGCTCCGCTGAATTCCAGGAAGCCAGCAACACCATCTTCTCCATGCCGTTCGCCCAGCCGGGACAATGAACCGCTTCTGACCCACTCGGTTGTCCCTGTCACCGATTCCCGGCCTCTTCTTTAGAGGGGCAACAACCTCTCCCAAAGTTGGGAGCTTTTCGAGATGATACACGGAAGTCCGGTCAACCAGGTCAAGTTCAAAGAAGACTTCAGGGTCAGTTTCCCCCAGCCACTCCGGCAGATGCCCCTGGCCGGAGTCCAAAGTCACACGCAAGCCGGGCCTTGACACACTCTGACACTTGTATTCAGTGAACTCAGTTACCACGTTGGGAAGAAAGGCGGTGGAACAGCATGGCGGAAAGTCCGAGACAATTGTAGGTGTTTCAACAAGTTGTTGGTCAAGTCTGCAGAGCGATCGATCGGCGCGGCTCAGCTGCAAGACAACGCGGCTGCAAGAAAGGGTTTAGGGGGAGGTATCATGCAAGGACCATGAAAACAAACCAGAAGAAAATTGGTGTCACAGCTTGCAATCAAGGCAGGTACACAGATTGGCGTCCCAATCTGCTTCACGGAATGTCCACAGCTGTCTTCGTTGGCAGCAGAACTGTGGATTCCCTGCTGCCCCCTGCCTCATTGGAGTGGTCGAAGGAAACCCTTTGTCCAGGGGT